TCCTCCCAGATGTTTATTAACTCCCATCGGTCAAATTGATTTTTATGTAGATTTTTATCCTTGGTTTATATATTTACTGTATTTTAGGGGTACTTTGATATGAAAAAGAAGAGAATTAAGACACAAAGAGTGAAAGGTGTTCATATTAATACAGCACAAATGGAGAGTATTCAGAGGCTAGATATCACAGCAGGGAGCTGCTGCCCCAGTCCAGTCATTGCTTCAGTTTCTCTGCTCTGTACAATTTAAGGTAATTTAGCCCATTATTTCTGTTCTCTAGTAAACAGCAGTGGAAACTGTATAAACGTTTTCTTGGCTTTTTCACAATTTGCCTGCAGAATATTTCCAATTGCCAAGACTTCCTGGAACTGTGCCATCTGTTATTGCTGTAAATGTAATTCATGGAAACAAGAGGAGGCTCCTCCTCTCGCTCTCTCTCTCTCTCTCTTCCTCTCTCTCGCTCTCTCTCTCTGTTTTATGAGCCTGGTGTGGCTGCTGGTTTTATGAAACTTTTCCTGCTTTTTACTGTCTACTCTACTGGCCAAATAACAAGAAGCTAACTGAAAACAATGAATGATTAAGACAAAACTTTGAGTGAAGACACAAAGGGGTGAAAAAGAAAGAAGAGTTAAACTTCCATGTTATTCATTCAAAAGCTTTTTTTGCAGCCGTTATCATTTAGTGTCGCATTTAAAGTGTTGGAATTTTGAAGAACTGTTTTTAAACAGCACAGGAAGACACAGGAGGTTGTGGTGGTTTCATGGAATATTATCCAATCAGCCATTATAGAATTGTTATGCTTAATATATTAGGTTACTTTTTGATTGCTGCAGTAATATTGTACTGTTGCAAGTATACAAAAACTTAATGTATTCCCATGACATTGCAGTGTTTCCAGAAGAGATCCTGTATGTTGACAGAGATAATTTATTTGGTAAATTTTGGGAGGGTTACAGGGGCTTGAAGACTGGTTTATTTTAAAAGTGCATTACATACTTTATACCTATTAAGACTTTCAAGATGATTTTTAAATTCTTCTTAAAGTCTCTAAATTGTACTTCTGTTTGAAAGAGTTGGTCATTTTCTAAAATGTTTCTAAAATGTTCTTCTATTTCTGCCACTGCAGCTTTAAAATTCAAAAAACACATTTTCCAATCTACTGTATGAATAAGGGTCAGCTACAATGTTTATATAGTTTTCCTTCAGGACTTAATGAAATCCTTTTTATATATATATCTCTTCTTGTAAACAAAAGTAAGAACCTTATAAAAGTAAGGAGTGCTCATCCAGTAATTCTTTCTATTTTATAACAGAGATGTCTTCTTTCACCTCTGGGCTTTTAAGCAGTGATTTAATCCAGGTATTTACATCAACCCTTGAACCAAAAGACTTCCAGGACTTGTGAGGTCAATATTCTCTTCCAGGTTTTTCTCTTTTTTATATCCCAATTCATCTCCTCTTTCTTAGTTTGTCCCTTGGGATTCACCTTTACTGTCTCACCCACTATTGGATCTATTTAATAATACCTCTGTTAAAATATTTTTTTCAGCAAAATACAATACATATTTTACTCAAAATATTAAGGTCCTGCCTGCGTTATCAATTTGGAATCAAGAATGGAAAATTACATCTGGCTGGGAGGTAATCTGGGGATAAGTTTTGCATTGTGCAAAAATTGAGTGCACCCGTCTGTCCCTTTCCACTTTATTCACAGCTCATGCTACTCTAAGGAGAGTTCCGATGAGGTTATGAACAGATTCTGCTGGTCAGCTCTGACCTTCCAGGATAATGGGCTCTTTTTATACATATTCTTGGACTGTTCCCAAATTAATGCATTTAAGAAACGTGTAGGACATGGCTCGGTAACCTTTCAGAAGGGGCATGCCAAGAATTAGCACATGACCTTGTTTTTACAGATTTGTGTACGATAGATATTTTTAATGTCTGCCTCTATATCAAAGCAGATCACTATTTTCAACACTGTAGTCATCAAGTTATTAAGATCATGATTCAAAATCTTGATACAAAGATTCCTAATGAATAATAGAATTAACATTTACTGTGGGTTGACCCATGTGATTTTTACAAATCTCTTCTGTTTCCCAACAATAGCAAGGGCAAAGAAATAATTTTGTAATGAAAATATTTCCTCATGTCAATTCTTCTGAGTCTAGCAGACACAAATAAGTTTTATAGTGTTTGTCATGTTTTGTCTGAAAATGTCGGAAAATTGCTGTGCGACAAACAATGCTTTTGTAAAATAGAGCACAAGCACCAGTCTTTATGTTGAATACGTCCATATTCATCTCTCCAAAAGAGCAGAAAAGAGCGAACATCTATCTTTTCTTTCTTTACACTTAAGCGTGACAAATGATATCAAGGGCACAATGTATCTCTGGAAGGAGTATGTGATCTGTTTTGTTCTGGAATCACTTTTTTGGTACTCTCCCATGGGTTTGGGGTATGCATAAATAAAAATAAATTATCAAAAAAATATCTTCTAGTTTCTGCAACAATATTTCTTATCGTTTCTTTTGTTTGAGTGTGTAGTAACCAAATACAATATGTTGTAAAAAAATGTGTTTTTCTTTCTCTAAGTGAATTGCCACACATGGTTTGCTGTGATAAATAACTATTCAGCGATGTGGCAAGGTGGCCATTATGGTCAAGGCTGCAACTGACCCTAGACATGGTCTACAATTAAATGGCATGTTATCTTTTTTACCTGATCTGTGTTTTCCTAGCATTGTTTTGCATTGAGAATAAGGGCGGATAGTACTTTAGAGAAGATTAAAAAACAAGAAAAGCCTTTTCTGTTTGCAACTATACTTCAGCTGCAAAAATTCACACCCTGAAAGAAAAAGTGTACACAATAGAAGGTTAGGTGGGTAGCCGCGGCAGCACGTGTAGGCTGCAAAAGAACAAGTAATAGGTTTATTCCATGCTGAAAAGAGAAACACCTGAGGAAGGCTCCACGGCCGAAACATTGTGTTTTCATTCTTCTCTTTTCAGCATGGAATAAACCTATTACTGTTCCTATTATTGTTCCTCCACAATAGAAGATGCCTACAATGCACTGGCAGCAAAAGACAAACCTAACTGCTCTTTCAGTTCTGATCTGGTCCTTTAAGCAAAGGACAAATATCTGTAAAGAGAAGTAATGGAAATAAAGTCACTCATCTCAAGTCACGTTTGCTTCTGTTGCAGGTGATATGGAAAAAAAGGAGCAACTGAAAAATAGTTCTTGAAAACTCAACATATTTAAAAGCTTTGCATTTTTGTTTTAGTATACTATCATTCCCTTTGCAGATTTTTTTTGTTTCTGACGCCTTTTGTATTTGTTGTTTTTTTTACTGTTTTAATTTCCTGTTTAGTCATTCTTTTCTAAATTGTTCACAGTTATTTGCAGTATATTCTTTCCCATAACTGTTACAGTGCTTTAATTCACTGTAAACCTGCTGTATAACCTAGCAGATGTTAAAGCAAAGCATAAAGACACTGAGTTAATTGTGTCACTTTCAAGCCCATTAATAATATAATAATAATTATTTGTTTCAATATGAGTCTTGCCTGGAATCATTTATAAAATGCATGTAAATATTGTCCCATTACAGTTCTGCCTAGAACACACTGAATTAACCCCAGATACTAAGCTTTATTCATGACTTAAATACACCAGAGCCAGTAAAACATACCATGAATCAAAGAAGACAAGTTTTTTTGTTTTATGAGTAACTGATGACTACTGTACCCAGAAATAGACAATGAAATATGTGCCTCTGGTATAAAATTAAACACAACTACATCGGCCAGTCCCAGCACAGTCTATATTTTAATGTATGGTCATTGGTTTTGGCTGGAGTCTTTGGAATTTCTTTGGAATAACTTCAAATGATGATGCTATAAAAGTAATGCTATGATTACCCATTCATTCCTTCAAGTGAGATACTAATGCTCATTTCAAATTTGGTGAGCTTACTGATTTATAAACTTTTATCCTGTTTGTAGAAAAGATATTTAGTGAACCTCTGGCGTCCTTTATAACAAATATGAAAAAATGGCACAGATCTCAAGATGGTTAAACATGAAGATAGCCAGTCATCTTTGTGTTCTTATGAGGAGGGTATTTTTAAACAACAGTCTTCCCCAAGTGTGCATTAACTGTAGATGTCTTCAAGCTCAGTAGTTATCAGAAACTCTGATTTTGGTTGTTCATTTTTAAATTATTAGTGTTTTAAACTGTGTCAATATTTTCGTGTGATTTGTTGGTTATCTAGAATAGTATTCCTTTTAGTTTTAGAGTGATTGGCATTGTAATACTGAATCAGTAAGTTCACTAATAGGTATAAACCATTCAGTCTATCTTTCTCACTTAATGATTAGTTCCAGATATCCACCATACTTTGTGTAAAAAAAGTGCTTTAAATTCTTTGTTAGGTAATTTGCTTCCACCAGTGTTAAGTACTTCATTGTTGTCCCTCTAATATACAGTTGCCATGTCTTAGGAGATACCCATCAGATTCTGAATACTTGTATAAAATCCTCACATAACCAGTATATTTAAAAAGTAGAGCAAAAGAGAATAGTTTTAATAATTGCATTTGTGAACAGAATAGTGCTCAGTTTTTCGTGTGTTGTATAATTTTAGCATAATTCTGCTTGATTTCAATTTCCTACTTTTCACCATACTGTAGGTTTATGAAATTTGGTTCTGTAGGCTGCTACTTTTAGATCACTGCTATCCACACTACAGTTGTAATGCACATTATTTAAAACTCTAAGAAATCCTTTGCATTTGTCTATAGTCAATTTCATTTTCCACTTAGCTGTTTACTTCTGAATAGTGTCTGTATCTTTCTGAGTTTTCTGTGCTGCTTCAGATAAGCCAGAGAATTACATGCTTGGATGTTATTTTGCTGTGAATACTGAGTTGAATGTTTGATAATATGCTGTGAGTATTGTAATGTTCACACTGCTGTGTGATCTCTTCTCTCCACCAGTAACAACCACGCTGTCTCCCGGCTCTGGCCATGCCCGAAGATGCAATGACACTGAGAAGGCTTACTGTGTCAACGGTGGCGTTTGTTACTACATAGATGGTATAAATCAGCTGTCTTGCAAGTAAGTGAGTGTAATCTTCCTATTCTCGCAACAACCCTCTTCTCTAAATTCTGATTTATGTTCTTATTATATAAATTTCAGTCACCATTTGGTCAGTACAATCCCTCACTGAAAGTCTATAATCTAACATGTGCTTTAAAATTAGGCTTCCTTTCTCTAACTTTGAACCACATCACTCCAAAGGCTTGAAAGTCGCAGTTTTCTTTAGCTAGCTCTGCCAAAGATTTTAGGCCATTCTGACCAGTCAGCAAACAGGGTTGCCAGTTCAGTGGACACATGTCAACCTCTTCTTGCCAAAAAGGATTGTATGTACTGTAACCTGCAGAGGGAATCAGTGACAGTTGTCACTGACAGCCTTCAGTGACAGTTGTCATATTTTCACAATTCTGTGTGAAGAGAAAACAGTCTGATGTGCAATTATTGTGCATAGAATCGCACCAAATGTCAGTATCTGGACATAATCGTCTCAACAGAACTGTAGAATAACATGCCAGTCCCTGTCAATTGATAGTTTAAAGAGATTCCAATTTTGTCTTCACTCCAAGATGTTGTAGATCAAACAGAAACGGCTATAATGAGAAGCTGAGAGTGAATGTCATGCTTGTGAAACGTTTATTGTGCTGAAGATGGGCACCTTCCTAAAGGCAGAGGTTAGTGTGGCAAACGCTCCACAGCAAAGACCAAGGAGGATAGTAAAAGTTGTATTTTGCTTTCACAATGTGTTCAGATCATGCTTCTTGTAAAAAATCACCTGTATCTTTGTTTCAGTTTATACAGATAAAATACAGGAATCGTGTACTGTACTTCTTGACTTTAATCTCACTATCTATATTTATTGTGGCATCATTGCAGTATTAGCCTGGCCTGAAATATATTTAAATGTAACCATTAAATCTGTTACATGTAGGGAACCAGGGAATTCTGAATTTGAGTTTTGCTTAAAAGAACCACTTTGATTCCTTGCAGTTTTCGGAATCCTAGAATGTCAGGGTTGCATATTCCTACAGTACATGCTAATGTATGAGACTCCTGGTTCAATCCCTACTATCTGCAGGGCTTTCATGTTGAGGCAGCAGTCTGCTGCAGATTGATTAATTAAAGCATGTTAAGGCATTTCCTTGATTGTGAACCTGTAGAACCTTTATTCACTAACTGGCCTAAATATTAGAATGTAAGGTTTCAATAAGGAGAGTACATTGTGCAGCTCAGTGATGCAGGCATATTACCAAGCAACACCTTTAAGGGTCTCATGGAGTCAAGTTTAACCATGCAGCTACAGTAGGCAAGGGTATCCAGAATAACACACTGGGCCTCTGCAGGCTGTTGGAGCAGCTTGAACAAAATGGATTTGATCCGCAGGGCTTTGTGGTAATTGTAGTCCAAACCCATCCCATTTCTCTAGCAGGAGCTCTGTCAGATGGTGATGAGTCTAAGGGTATTGAGGGTTAAACTGTGTGTTTCACCAGCTCCATCATTTTTGCATAGGATCAAAAGCTGTGGCTCTATTCTATTTTCCTCAAGTCTTCCACTGAGATTATTGAGTTGATTGGGGGTTTCTAATATTTTGGCATGTGGGAATACAGTATGTACAGTACGGTATTCCACATATATACCCGCACAGCTTCCAAATCATTTGACCTGCCAATTCAAATAAGCCAGGCAGTATTAGTGCAGCAGGTAGAACTCCAGGGGTATCAGAATCAATATGCAGATAGGAGGTGGGTCAATTAGATTTAATGACAGTTCAATTTGTTTTGAACACCAAAAGACCTTGTGGCCCCCCAGGAACTGAGCTTGACAAACCTAGTCTAAACAATGAACTGGTGAAAGAAAAGGCTTGAATTGTAAAGCAGCGTGATTGTGGCTGACATTAAACAGTAGTATTGTGCTCATTCAGAATTTACTGACTGATATTCCATGATGCCTCTCATTACAATAATACGATTAATAAATATGGAAGGAGGTTCTGCTATGTAAACATCAACAAATGTCATATTTTGGATGTATAGCAATTTTTCTTCCCTAATTATTTAATTCTTTCAATCTTAGTCCTTCCTTAACTGTTGCAGATATACTCTGAGTCATGGTATTTTGTTCTTAGTAAATCCAGAAAAGTAGAATATAGTGACCTCCAAAAGAATATGGACAACAAAATCAAATTATTTTTGCTTTACAGTTAATAATAACAACATAGATCAAACATACAGTATACTGTGTGCTCATCTCAGTGGTTTCAAGTGACCAATAACTGTTACTAGATGAGCTCAGAAAACTTTAAATAATGTTCTTCAGCATTTAAAATGCATACTCAGTTGAATTTAAATCTCAAGATTGAAACGAGTCTAGGATTTTCCACTTTTTTCTGCTTTGAAGAACTCAATGTTCAATCTTCAGCGCTGGCCTCGAGTTTTGGGTCAGTGTCACCCACTAAATGGTAAAATGTTTCTGTAAATTTCATTGTTTACTCTGCTTTCATAATTACATACATCACAATAAAGATAAGTGGGCCAGTTCCACTTTTACACTCTGATATTTACTTGAAGGGGTATTTACTATTATCCAAAAATAATACATATACAGTACTATTTGGTGCTTTTCATTCATATTAATTCCATGATCACAAATGAAAATTGCTTGACTGTGTAACAAAAATAATTTTTGATTTTGCCTTCCCAATATTTTCAGAGAGCACTGTTTACCATAGTATAGGCTGTCACTGACAGTAAGTATCTCCTGAAGGATGTCAAACATTCTTTTCTTGTAGGAGGGATTTAATACACTCCCCATTGCAATCCTGTGTTTTCTAAGATGGCACATAGCAGCCATTCAGAGCCATCACAGGGGTGCAGTCTGGGAAGTGCAAATTCCACTTAATACATAACATAATTTTAACATAATATTACATAACATAAACAGTAAAAGAACCAGGTCTGAGAAATTAGTGCGATCGGTCAACAACCATGCAGTTCATTCAACTTCCAATCACAACCCAGGACAGGTCCTAAAAAATGTCCTGTCATTTGTTGTAGTCAAATCATACAAATCATAGACACAAATCCCCTGACGTCTGTCATCCACTTTTGACAGAGTTGTGCTTTTTTTCTGTTCCTGAGAGGCTGCGTTAAAAGTATTCATGTCAGTGCTGACCTCCAAAGGGACTTGCAGTAGGAACCTGCCCCATGCTTCAGGCTGCATGCTTGAATGCTGAGCAGCACAATGCAATGACGCATGAGGAATTAAGCAGCACAGGAAGTCAGACTGGCTCTTTATCAGGACAAGGAGGCCTTTCAGACCACAGTATCAATGTGTGCTGCTGAGGTAAGGCTGCGACAGCCATTCAATAAGCTGTGTACAAATTGGAAGTAGCAATAACTCAATTCTTACAGCTAATTCACTCACAAAACGGCACAAGTCCAGAAAATCAGATAATGCAGTTGAGGCCTGCAGGGAATAGTAGCCCAAAGCCATCTCATTCAATAAAGCACAGGCTTCCTCTATAATTATTCACTTGCTTACAAGCAAAGGAGACAGGCTAGTCCTTACGTACGCTTCTTTCAGACTGCAATATAAACTTGTTCATAGGCAAAATTAACATGATCTAGAAGCGATTCTTATCTTGCGTCCTGCTCCTGTTATATTGTATTGTATCTGTCAGTTGTTACTCAGGAGTATGTTTTCTTACACTCGGTTTACAGTTTATATTCCATTTAGTTTGCTTGTTTGTTCTTATAAGGCTATACTGTAACAAGGAAGTGTATGTATCAAATTATTTGGATCTAGACTGAAGATAGTTGATATTTACGCTGATTTAACCCAGCATTTCAGAAAGGCAAATATTAATGGAATAAAATGAAATAGAACTCATTTAAAATAATCCAATTATTCCACAGTAATTGTCATTTTACAATTAAAAAGAAATATATCTCCAGTGGTTGCTTGGAAAAAAGGTAAAAAAATATCCTAGAAATATAAGGATTTAAATATTAAGTATTGTAATTTGCAAAAGGCCCCTGCAGTAATCCAGATTTAAGTATAGTAAAACCATTAGAGGCTGATTATTCAGAGAAAAGTGACCACGTATAATCTGTTCAAGCACATAGTGTCACTCTTCAGGCCAGGGTTTCATGAATAGATTGCAATAGTGTTTGTGGCTTCCTGTGATGTCTTTACCAAAGCAGGGTGGCATAATTAACAATCAAGTTCTGTGGCTTTGCATGCAGAAATAAACTGAAGCACTACAAGCCAAGAAGCATTTTTTTTAAATGTCATTGCGTTTTGTTGTTGATATTTAAAACTTTTAATACAAAGCACATGTACACACATGTTGAATGAAAGGGACTATTTAGAGACCGTTTTTGTCCCTGCTGGAATAAACCTTTATATGTGGTCAATGATCTGCAGACATTTAGTGGATACTCAAAAGAATGCCACTGTCCTCTTGGTCCTATTATCATTTGCCAAAAAAGCCTAACATGGCTCATGACAATATCAACAATTTACGCCCCATCTCCAACTTACCCTTTCTTGCAAAAATTCTAGAACATGCTGTCACATTTCAGTTACATAACCACCTCATGACAAACAACCTTTTTGAACCCCTCCAATCTGGCTTCAATCAACTTCACAGCACAGAAACCCTGGTCAAAGTCACTAACGATCTTCTAATAGCTTCTGATTCTGGTTCCCTTTCTATACTCATCCTTTTTGATCTCAGTGCTGCTTTGACACTGTTGACCATGACATCTTACTTTCTCTACTTGAGACTGTGTTTGGAGCTTCTGACACTGCTCTCAAATGGTTCAAATCTTACCTCACTGATCGCTGTCACTTTGTCTCTCTTAATGGGTATAGGTCTGAAATTGGTCTTGTTAAGTTTGGTGTTCCTTAGGGCTCAATACTGGGCCCCTTGCTCTTCAGCATTTACATGTTTCCACTTGGTCAGCTTTTAAGATCACATGGCCTCAGCTATCATTTCTATGCTGATGATACTGAAATCTGAT